GAAGCTTAATCTAGTTTGGGAAAATGTATTTTTGAAAGAATATGAAAGTTTTATACCTTGTAAATAGTTGTCTTTATAAAGACTAGTTAGTAATCATAGCTTATGTATGGTCAGTTATTTTGCAATCATTACTTTTGCAAATGTTTACAGGTAAAAAAAATGGCAAAACACGACTTTTCGAACGGGTCATGTCGAATTTTTGCCAGAAATTCTTTTTAAATCTAAGTATAGGGTGTTATAGTTGGTATCAGAGCAAAGGTTTAAGGGAATTTGGTTAAGAGAACCTAGTCTTAAACCTATGGTTGGTATAGTTATGTAAACTATATGCTTAGAATTAGAAGTTTATGTGGTTGAATTTGGAGTTTATATTGTTTATCTGTTATGAATATGTAGCAGCTCGATATGGATTCAAACGAAAATCATCCATTAGATCAAAGAGATGGCGAGGAGGTTAATAGTTCAACCCCAAGTCAAAATCCAGATATTCCAGAAGTAAATTTTAGGGCCTCTATCATGTCAGATATGATGAAATTAATKGAAGCTGCTATGAGTAAGCAACAAGAAATGTTTGCAAAGATGATGGAAGATCGGGATGCTTCTAACAGTAAGAAAGAAATAGTGGCAAAAAAGGTGAAAGGAACAAAGAGCTTGGATAAAGGGAAAGAACCGATAAATGAAAATCAAGCAAAGAAGACTGTTACATTTAAAGCATTTCTTGGTTGCAAGCCTCCAGAATACATGGGTGGTATTGATCCAGTGAAGTGTATGAGATGGTTACADGAAACARAACAAGCTTTTGAATCTAGTGAATGTGATGAGCAGCAAAAAGTTAGATTTGCTTCATAGATGCTACGAGGAGAAGCTTTGAGTTGGTGGATGGTGACTAGACAAGCTCTAGGTGCAACCATAGTATCAGAGATGACTTGGCCAATGTTTAAAAGTAAGATATTGGATCGATATTGCAATGAAAGGGCTCGAGACCGAATTGAAAAAAATTCAGGAATCTCAAGAAAGACAACTTGTCAGTGTCCGAATATACAAGAAGATTCATGGAAAAGTTGGGCTTGTTAGAACAAGTGGCACCGGATGAAAGAAGTAAGATAAAATTTTATTTGGCAAGACTACCATCTCTGATGAGATCCTTCATACGACCCGCACGTATTGAGACTTTACAAGAAGCCATGGAAGAAGCTCAGTTGATTGAAGATGACATGTCAGAGATAAAGGAAGAAATGCCTGATAAAAGAGAAAAGAGAAAGTGGGAAGGAAAGACAAATACACCAAGTAAACAGAGACATGTTACTACTACAAGTGGAAAAAAAAGAATGGAGCCAAATACATGTCCAAGTTGTTACAGAAACCATTCAGGAAAGTGTTTTAATTTTCCAGTAAAATGTTACAAGTGTGGGAAGGTTGGGCACATTAGTAAAAATTGTGACAGCAACTCAAACCGATGTTATGAGTGTGGATCTGAGGGACATATTCGTCGTGACTGCCCAAAGCTCAGGGATTCTGGAAAGGGGACACCGAAAGCAAATCAGCCAAAGAAAGATTTGAGAGTTCTGGGTAGAGCATATCAGATGACTGCAGAGGAAGCTCGTGATGCAGATGATGTAGTCACCGATACATTCTTAGTCAATTTCATACCTGCACGTGTACTATTTGATTCAGGAGCCAATCGTTCTTTTGTTTCTGTGACATTTTGCGATCGATTTGGCATATCAACTAGTTTGCTATCAGATGCATTAGTAGTGGATACAGCTAATGGGGGGCAAGTGCTAATAATACGTGAGGTTTATGATGGATGCACGATTGAAATTGAGGGTATCTTGTTCCCAGTTAGCTTGTTACCTTTGTCAATAGGAGGATTTGACGTTGTGATAGGAATGGACTGGTTAGTTAAACATGGAGTTGATATTTTATGTTCAAAGAAGATGCTTTCAATTTTGAGACCTAATGGGGAGACACTATTAGTTTATACGGATAGGCGAAAGGGTGATATGRGGATCATTTCAGTGGTGAAAGCACGAAAATGCCTTATTAAAGGTTGTTCTTCATTTTTGGCATACATTGTGGATGCCAAAGTGGAAAAGAAGAAGATTGAAGATGTTCGAGTAGTGTGTGATTACCCTGATGTGTTTCCCGAAGACTTGCCCGGTTTACCGCCAGATCGTCAGGTTGAGTTTCGTATAGACCTCATTCCTGGTGCAGCGCCGATCGCTCGTTTTCCATATCGGCTAGCTCCTTCAGAAATGAAAGAAATGATGACTCAACTGCAGGAATTGCTCGACAAAGGTTTCATCCGACCAAGTTCTTCACCATGGGGTGCTCCAGTATTGTTTGTAAAGAAGAAAGATGGCACATTAAGGATGTGTATCGACTACCGCGAGCTGAACAAAGTGACTATAAAGAATAAATACCCTCTTCCTCGCATTGATGATTTGTTTGATCAACTCCAAGGTGCTAGTTGTTTCTCCAAGATTGATCTTCGATCAGGTTATCACCAATTGAAAGTGCGGCAGGAAGATGTTTCCAAAACTGCATTCAAGACCAGGTATGGTCATTATGAATTCTTGGTTATGCCATTTGGTTTGACGAATGCTCCAGCTGCTTTATGGATTTGATGAACCGAGTCTGTCGCCCTTTCTTAGACAAATCAGTTATAGTATTCATAGATGATATCCTCATTTACTCCAAGAATGAGGAAGAGCATGAAAGACACCTGCAGGAAGTTTTGGAGTTACTGAGACGAGAGAAACTTTATGCAAAGTTCTCTAAGTGTGATTTTTGGCTAAAGGAAGTACAGTTTCTTGGTCACGTAATTTGCAGTAATGGTGTGAAAGTTGACCCATCCAAAGTAGAAGCAATAATGAGTTGGGAGGCTCCAAAGAATCCTACAGAGATAAGAAGTTTTCTGGGATTAGCGGGTTATTACCGCAGATTCATACAAGATTTCTCAAAGATTGCTTCACCCTTGACTGCTTTGACTAGAAAGAATGTGAAATTTGTATGGACTGAAAAACATATAAATGCCTTTGAAATATTGAAGAAGAGATTATGTGAAGCACCTGTATTGTCTTTGCCAGAGGGATCTGATGATTTTGTTGTATACAGTGATGCATCTGGATTTGGTTTAGGTTGTGTTTTAATGCAACGAGACAAGGTAATTGCTTATGCTTCTAGACAACTTAAGGAGCATGAGAAGAATTACTCGATACATGACTTGGAGTTAGCTGCAGTTGTCTTTGCACTAAAGTTATGGCGACACTACTTGTATGGTACACAATGTATTATTTTTACTGATCATAAAAATTTGGAATACGTTTTTGATCAGAAGGAGCTAAACATGAGGCAAAGGCGTTGGTTGGAGTTAATCAAAGACTATGATTATGAAATCAGATATCACCTCGAAAAAGCTAATGTAGTTGCTGATGCTTTGAGCCGTAAAGAACGAAGTGGTGATGTATTGGTTAAGTTCAATAGAATTGAAATTATGTCAAGTTTGATTGAAAGAATTAAAAAGGCTCAAAAGGAAGCTTTATTGGAGGAAAACCTAAAAAGTGAAGGCATGGTGAAACAACAATCTCTACTAGAAGAAGACAGTCATGGTCTAAAGTTATTTCGAGGTAGAATTTGGGTGCCAAAGATTGGGGGTAACCGGGAGTTGTTACTAGAGGAGGCACATAAATCAAAATACTCTATTCATCCAGGAAGCACTAAAATGTACCGGGATTTGAAGTTGCACTAATGGTGGCCTATCATGAAACTTGATATAGCAAAGTATGTTGAGAAATATGTGACATGTTTACAAGTGAAAGCCGAACATCAACGACCGTACGAAAGTCTACAACCATTGGATATACCAGAGTGGAAATGGGATCATGTTACTATGGATTTCATAATTGGATTGCCCAAGACGTTGAAGGGTCACGATGTGATATGGGTAGTTGTAGACAGACTGACAAAAAGTGCACACTTCTTACCGATGAAGGAAACATGGTCAATGGACAAATTGGCTAAGTTGTATATTGACGAGGTTATCTCGAGGCATGGAATACCCTTATCCATCGTATCAGATAGAGATAGCCGATTTACCTCCAAATTTTGGGAGGGATTGCAGCGAGAGTTGGGGACAAGAGTGAATTTGAGTACCGCCTACCATCCTCAAACCGACAAACAAAGTGAGAGAACGATCCAAAATCTCGAAGATATGCTTCGTTCTTGTGTATTTGACTTTGGTGGGAATTGGGATGCACACTTGCCTTTGGTAGAATTTGCATACAACAACAGCTACTACTCTAGCATTGGTATAGCACCCTTTGAAGCACTGTATGGGCGGAAATGTAGAACACCCGTTTGTTGGTTAGAAGCCGGAGAGAAACAGTTTGCAGGTCCTGAGATTGTACAAGAGACTACAGACAAAGTTAAAGTGATTCGGGAACGCCTTAAAGCCGCACAAGATCGACAAAAGAGTTACGCAGATAAGAAGAGGCAACCTAAAGAGTTTCAAGTGGGAGAAAGAGTTATGCTTAAAGTATCACCGTGGAGGGGAGTGATCAGATTCGGGAAGCATGAAAAACTCAGTCCTTGTTTCCTTGGACCATTCACAGTGTTCGAAAGGATCGGAACTCAAGCCTATCGTCTAGACTTACCATCAGAGTTACAAGGAATTCATAACACTTTCCATATATGTTACCTAAGGAAGTGTTTGGCGGAAGAAGAAAACGTAATTCCGTTATCCGAAATTCAAATAGATGACAAAATGTATTATGTTGAAGAACCAGAGGCAATACTAGAACGAAAGACAAAGAGATTACACAGAAAGGAGATCGGGTTGGTTAAAGTACAATGGAAGCATCATCGGGGTGCAAATGTCACATGGGAACCGGAAGACGAAATGAGAACACGCTACCCACATTTGTTTCTTGAGATTTAGATTTCGGGGACGAAATCTCCTTTTTACAGGGGAGAATTGTAACATCCCATTCTAAAGGTTAGATGAATATTTAGATGTTTGAAAGTTTGGGGTAGAATTGTTTTATAGTGATAATCAAGGGGGTTATAATGTCCTTCCCTCA